TTCTGTTGATAAATCTCTAACAAGTATTGATATCACATACACACACAATGATTGTTTCAGAAATCGTCCTGGCTTGATATATTTCTGGCGGAATTGCTTGCGCAAATTAAGGAAGGCAAAGATGTAAAAGATGTTCTGTCTTGTTGGTGAGGCCCTTACATTATTACTTTGATTCATTATTTTCTGCGCAACATTTGTTCTAAAGTTTACGCGATATTTTCCGAGAAGCATATTCGATTACATATTTATTTTTACGTCTTCGTCACAACCACAGTAGAGAATTTGATCGCACCTCTGCGGTTGCGATGGAGAACTTTTATGGCAGCTAGCTTCAATTGACTTTCGATCTGATCTAGTTCATTTTATTCCTTTTCTGCCAATCCTATTTGTTAATTGTTTTTATTTAATTTTTAAATGTTTTAAATATCTGATTAAACTTAAGAGCGTGTTGATTACAATATTCACATATACATGATCTGACAATAAAATTTCTTCGAATTGCAACAATAAAAAAACGTATCTCAGATAACAAAATATATTTTATCTTTCAAAGTAATCCTCCATAACATGCATTAATATCTCTTTTATTATAAAACTTTAAAACATTTTTTTAAGTCCGTTGTTGAATACTGTTTAGAGCATTCGTCACGTTTCTTTGAATGTTCTCTCTTGAAAATTGTCTTATTTATTTCATGATTTTTGATCTTTAGGAACAGCATGAAAATCGAAGAAATCAGGTAAATAGACGATTTTCTCACAATTCCTTTTTTGATAAAAAATTTAATTTCACAAATTTAAAAAAGCTTTGAATTTATAAAATTCAAATAAAGATAAAGTGTAAAGTGTATAAAGACTATATACTACTTTGACTGTATACTACTTTGAAAGAGAATTTGTTATATGAGATGTCTATTTTTTTTATTGCTTTTCGGGAACTCTTTATTGTCAGATTATGTATAATACAAAAAGCTATTGACATTTATTGTGTATTGTCGCATTCTATTGTGAATCACTTTCTGATAAGAGCTAATTCTATTTTTACCAACATAGATTAACTTTAATCTCGATTTAATTTATTTTTATTTTTTTATCTTCTTTTAAATCTAAGAATTAAAAAAAATATAGAATAAATTGAATCGAAATTAAAGTTAATTTATAATACATTGATAGAAATAGGCCTAATACCCGTTTCTATCAATATAGATTAACTTTAATCTCAGTTCAATTTACTCTTAATTTTTTCTAATTTTTAGAATTAGAAAAAGATGAATTAATTGAAACGAGATTAAAGTTAAACTACATTGTTAAAAACGGACAGAAGATAAATATTCTTTTCTTTGTTTATTTTGAAAAGTGATATCACATGAACTACTAAAAATAATAAATACATTTGAATCGTATCTCAGATAACTTACATCTGATAACTCAACCATTGAATTGAATGAGACAATAAAAATATGTATGTATACATCAAGCATATTCTTCTATTTTAGTTCGGTTGGCGTTGGCGGCGTGTCGACTCTCGTGGCCTGCGAATTACTTTCGGATGTGCACGAACTGTGCGGAAACAGAAATGGCAGCGAGCTGATCGGTCTACGAAAATACTTGGTCCAGGATCGTGGATGGCGTTATCTGGCAGTGTTGCATCTGTTAGGTGTACGTGGTCTGTCCTGTGGTCGCGAACTGGTTGCGTTGTTGGTCGCTCTCTATCAAGTTGCATTCCAAGAAGAACTCGACTCGGGATCCAACTTGACCGCATTACAAAAATCTGACAGCGAATCCGCTGTCGTCGAATCATCGATACGTAACCAGTATATGAGATTTTACTGTAACGATGATACCGTCGATACAGTGAATATCGTGCTGCATGCAAAACGCAAGAGTACTAAGAATTCTAATCGCAGGCGGTTTTCTAATGAGGGCGATACATCTTCGCGCAGGAAATTTGCTCGCCGACACGTCGTCGGTACTGCGAAGATCCACCAATCCATCAGTCATAAACAGAAGAAATCGTCATCGATTTTGGAAGCACGACGTAATACACCGGAGGATGAAACGAGTAGCGAGTTCGAACCATCGACGGACGGCATCGATCCATCACGTTCTCTCACGCTCAAGATTCGTCTGAATCCGATGGACTTTGAATATTTCACATCGATCGTTAGGAGTGACGAAGAACAGAAGTGGCAGGCTAAATTATACGAGTTGCCACCTCGTCCTATAAGGAAAACACCCCGTGATTATATTGACGAAAAGATCCGCGATGTATTGGACGCAAAAATCAGTAATTTCGAGATTAGTTTGCTGATCATACAACTGCTACAAGGCTTGCGTGACTATGATACACCTGCTGAGCAAACGCCAGCCGTGCAGGTTCTAAAATTCGCTCTGGATACGCTATGGTCGCTACAATTCGGTATAGACGGTAACCGTTTGAATGGTACAGAATGTGCGACCCTGAAAGCTGCGGCTGCCAGGCTGATGTTGACGGCTCTGGAACGTGTTTTGCGGGCCGACGAACCTACCACAGCGGTGATTCACAATGGTTTGCTACCAATGACTCTGAGATTGCTAGAGAATGCCTGCAGCAAGCCAGTGAATGTGTTGGAACCAGAAGAAGGTTCGTTGCTGCAGGAATTTATTTTCGCCACTATCTACGGGATCGTCACGTTCCTCTATTGTCTGTTGCACCAGCGTAGCAGTAATGTTGATAAACTATCGGACTTCCTCGAATTGTTCCGACTCTTCGTCGAGAGTCAGGATGGTAGGCTCGTCGAAAGAACGGTATTCGCGATCATCGATCTACCAAGTATTGATCCGGTGAAGTCAATAGTACGGGCCAAAAAGATAATCGACATAATAGGCGCATTGACCAGCGGATTGAAGAGCGTTCGTCGTGATCTCTCGCATGCCACGCAGTGTCACAGAACCAAGCACAAATCTTGCATCAATCACATTCAGAGTCATCATCATTCGGATGTGCTCGGAGCACCTTATTCCCAACCAATCGTTGGCATAGTTGATAAACAAGTTTGTTGTATTTCCTCGTTATTCATAACGCTCACGAGTTTGCTGAAGGAATCTCATTTATTCGCGAGCGAATTGCAGGTGAGACTGATTGGGATAATCACCGCCGCGGGTACATGCTGTTGCTTCCCGCCGAAGATACTCGTTTCGAGTGTCATCGCCTGTCTTAGAAAACGCGATTCCTCGATATACGCTCCGGCCATGGCGTTCTTGGAGCGTACTCTGTTTAGAGAACTGGGCGCATATTCGTTGACAGATGCATGCGACACTTGTGATAAACCAGCTAATTACTCGTGGGATTTTCTGGAATTATATGTCGATTTGCTGTGTCCTGACGATCCGAAATTATGTTACGTCGTCATGGCGCATCTGCTAAAAATCACACCCTGTTCCCGGTTTCATGTCAGAGAGCAACTTCTTTTTAGCGTTTTCTATCCGACTTTCCTGCGCGCCAAGGCGCATTACATGACCGACAAAAACAATGCAACTGCGAGATTTCTTTTGCAATCCTGTATGTCCGTTATATCGTGTTTAATCGTGAACTTGAAGATGTGCGAGAAATTCATGGAGATAAACGGACTGCATGAGATACTGTCTCTAATAACGGACGTATCGTTCACTAGGAGTGTCTATGCTCTTCTGGAAGTCACTGTTACTGTAGAGATCTGGAAGATTTGCAAGGACAATACAGAAAGCACCGAAATATCGGCGACGAAGTTCCTCTTTGAAACTCTTGATAGAGAGACGAATGGATTGTTCGTCAGCTTACAGTGTCTTAAGGAACTGAGAGTGGGAGAAAAAACAGACCAGCAAGGCGAGAAGGATGTACCTAATATGCATTCTAATCAAGAAGTTGAGTTAGCTACTCCCAAAGATTTGAGAACAGAGATTGTTGAAGCGGCGGTTGAAGATCTCAATGATACATTTTTATCGCAACTGCTTGAAAGTGATATTCACTGTGAACAGTTAGAAAACAAGACTGATACGATAGATGTCATAGCAATTTCGAATTCACTTGAGAGGTTTCACTTTCCTATAGAGGAAACTATCGAACTGCTCACCGATGAAGACACATCTGACAACAAATTTAACCTGCATCAGGCTAGCGCAGCGTGGAGGGCTGCTGCAGGAGTAGCATTGTGCAGCCCGAAATTCCGAACTGAACTGTCAATACATCCAGTATCTAGAAAATCGTTGCATTTGTTCAAATTATTAACTGTGGGCATCGCTACGGACAGTATTGAAGGTAGGTGGAATAATAATACCTGAAAAATTTTTTATTAATACAAATTTTTATACAAATTATTAAAAATCATTAATGAATCGTATCGTATTTATTTATTTTTTTTAGATAAATCGGCGCACAAGCTTTTCGAAGCCTTGATTACGTGCTGTCTAATATCTCCGTTGTGTAAGTATATATGTTATGTTACAAATGCGATTAATAAAAAGCATATCAAACACACCTCGATTATGTATGTATATACGTATATAGGGTGACAAATGTTCAATATGTAATATAAATAATTTGAAAAATTTAGAAGATGCGAGAAAAAATGTTGTAGATAAAAATATGGCTTGAAAGGGGGCAAATATTGATAAAATAATTTTCGAAAAAAATTAATTTTTTGAGGTCATGAAAGTTATCGGCATTTTTTAAAGATGAAATTACATGATTTTTTATATAATACGATTCTATTTATTTTGCATGTAAAAGTACTAAGAGAAATATTGAAATATCAATAGTTCATGAGATATTTTATACTTTATTTCTGCACATTTTGACATAAAATATATAATAAAATATCTGGTAAATCATTAATTTTTTGACAATCGTGTCTTTATGATAAAAATTTCGGAAAATTAATAGTTTTTGAATTATTTTATTCTGGCATATATTGGTGTATAAAATATAAAATATCTTGTAAACTATAAATCGTATTTTAATACTTTAATGCACAGAATGATGAAATGATTCAATTAGTGTAAACAAAACTACATTGTTATGTAGTTGTATATTGCAAATGCATAATTTTTTTTAATTAACAACTGTGTATTTTTTTTTATACTAATTGATCCATTTCCTCATTCTATGCGTAAAAGTATTAAAATACGATTTATAATTTACAAGATATTTTATATTTTATATTAATACGTGCCAGATTAAAATAATTCGAAACTAATAATTTTTCGATATTTACCTTAATCCTTTTATATAT